TATCTGTACAGGTAATAGCCAGAGCTAACCAAACTGCTTTAAACATTAATGAATATTAATGAAGTTCATGAACAGCACAATACTGCCTCTGTCTGTCTCAGGAAAACAAACGGATTGACTTTGTTCTAGAATAACAACCTTTAGTTCTTGATGGTTAAAATAATTTTATTGCTAAGAAGATTGTAGAGGACATAACTTCATAAGACTTGGCCCTGTTTACTAGACTTAGATCTCTTCCCCAAAACTAAATCTGTTTTACCTTTTTGCACATCTGAATGCCACTTCTTTCCATTAATTTGCCATCTCAAGACCCCTTCGTTTCCTCAGCTACCCTCCCCTCATCCCAGCAGTTCTTGGGAGTGACTCAGGGCTTGTGAGCTCCATTTGTATTTGGTATATAGATAATACCATCATTAGTCAGCGCTTCCATTCATCTAAATCTGTCTAAGCATATTGGAAGCTGTCCATAAAATTTTCCAATGGAAGTGACAAATGGATGTCAATCAAGAGGCCCCACCCACTCCAACCTTGTTTTGTGTGATGTGTGAGTGTTGTGTGTATTTCTTCCATAAGGAGAGGCTAGGCTATTTTTTGATCTGGACATCTGCCTGCGAAGGCAAGTTTCCCAGGCACATCACTGGTTGGCATTAGACAAAATTTGCAAAATTAACACCCAACGAGTGACAAAAGAAAAGAAATAGTATGTGAAATTAAATTGCAGCAGGATCCATTCCCTTAAGATAAATAATTTTTGGTACTCCAAATTTCAAGATTTTACAGTTTTACTGCAAATGAGTGTGTAATGAGAAAGGTAAAATCATTTCAAGCAAGCCAGCAAATTTGGGTCAAAATGAAAGCACTTCAGTGTGTGTGTGTGTGTGTGTGTGTGTGTGAGAGAGAGGGACAGAGAGAGACAGGAAGATTCCATAGGGCTGTTTGGGACTTTCTGTATTAAATCTACATCTATAGCTGTATTTTAAATACCTGTACACACTGTTCTCGGTGTGTGTATTATACTATACTCTGGTTTCTCAGTTCTATTTTTGTCCTTGTTTTTAATAACCAGTCCAATCTCTAGTGCTATTTGCTAGGCGAATATACTTATTAGGGCTTGGTGCCAGTTTTAACATGAGATTACTTTGACTGCTCTTGAAATCGATTGCTGTTTTCTAACCTATAACATGTTTTTACATGTTTAAGAGTGCTGCTGCTGTTGCTGAAAACAAAATTCTGCATTTATATTATAATGAGTTCATGTGTTTAGCCAAAAAGTGCTGTGGGCTAAGATTGGACACGAAAGATTCTAAAATCTTAAATGGGTTAGTAAACCCTTGATAATAATTGTAGTTTTATAGATAAAAAATATTTTTAACATTTTAATACTGCGCAGAAGTCATTTTTTCCCAAAGTTGTTATGAGATTTCTTCATCCACAAGGAATATTAAAGAAAAGTTTATAATTTGAAGTTATTTTATTTGGAAACACAGGGCCGGGGATTTAGCTCAGTGGTTCCGCCGCCTGCCTCACAAGTGCAAGGTCCCAAGTTCAATCCCTGGTACCAAAAAAAAAAAAATCTGTATTTGGAAACACTTTGGAGTGAAGCTGATCTTTATACCCAGGACTACAGATTTCACTTACCATTATCCATGGTGGGATGCCTAAGTTTACTCTTGTGGCTCAAAAAATTTTAGTGACTTTTAAAAAGTGGAATGTGGAAAGTATCTCCAGCTCATAGCAAATGTGGGAACTGGATAAATCCCGCTCTAAATGATCATTTAGTCTATGACTGGTTATTGTAATGAGTAGACATGAAAAACAAGTTATTGACTAAACTGAATTTAAAAGTTTCTGCTGAGTTTTCATCACTGGTATAGTCCGAATCATCACAACAATTTTACTTCAGCAATCGATATAGGGCAGAGGTCTGCCAGTACGTTCCTTCCCAAATTTACTGTACATAAAGGTGAAACTGTTTTTTTTTTCTAACAGTATATTCTGCAAGCTAAACTTATTTCCAAAACCCAGCTGGGCATCTCTTTCTGTTTATATATGAGAACAAAGAATCCTGAATTAGGAAAAAAAATCTGGCTTTCTTGCTTATGATTTTGGACAGAAAGTAATTTTTAAAATACTGTATGGATTTATGTCCAAAGGCTAAGTGGCTTTGTTGGCGGGAAGAGGAAGCTTGGTTTTGTTAATAAACAATACTAGCCCAGCTCAGAATTACTACCGGAAATTAGATACGGAAAGGCTCAAGCTGTTCTGACTTAAAGTTTCAGCTATGTAGCATGTGGATGGCCACCCACCCAGTGGTTAAATAGGGTCTCGGCTCCTGCAGTTTTCTGAACCCAGTGCCCTTTGCAGATGGGCCTACAGCTCTGCACTCTGCCTTCCTCCCGTGTGTACCTGAGTCCCCTTCTGGACCACCTTGTGCCTTCCCCATGGAGCCCCTCTGAGCCCCAGGCAGATCCTTGGGCTCCATCTCACTTAGGAGCTCAAGGCTAAAATTAGCCAGGTTCTCCCTGCTCCCCACTCCAAAAGGCTATTTTTAGCAGCAGGATTTTCAGGATGGAAAAATTCTGGAATAAGCTCATAAAACTAAGGCTGTGTTCAGGTTGTGCTTCCTGGGGAATCCATAGCCCAAGGCCCGGAAGCCCTTGAAAGTGTTGTATGGTCCTTGCAGGACTCAGAAGGCCTCCCTGAAGGCCTATAAAGGCCGAAGAAGCCTCGCACTGAGCATGGCTGGCAGCTGCATTGGGCCCATATCCATGACAAGGGCAAGCAGCAGCCTTTGGGTCATGGCTTGGAAAAGTGACAAGGCTGGGTGCTTCCCACCCCACCATTCCAAGGAGGGGACGGGGGCAGGCAGCTGAAGCGACAGACACCCTGTCCAAACACTTGACAGCTCCCGGGCAGCAGCCCAAGCAGTGGGCCAAGCCCTGGGCCAAGCCCTGGGTGTCGCTCCAGATGCTGGGCCGAGGCCCAGGGCACTCCCTAGTATAAAGCTGGAAAAAAAGAACACTGCCGCCGGCAGGAAACTGAGTCAAACAGATTGGGAAAAAGCAGAACCAGGCTGCCCAGGAGGCTGTGTCCCTGGACAAAAGTTTTCAGTTGTCAACAACAACCAGGATGGAGCGGATTCAAGGCCTCCTACTGCCTGGGGGAGGCGGGGGTGGGACTGGGTCCAGGGAGCTTGCAGTGACAGGGGACCCAGCTCAGGAAGGGCCGAGGAGAGAAGCTTGGCATGGCTTCCGGCTCGGATTCAGGACCTCACAGGCTGGCTTGGAGAGTGAATACTGCTGCAGGTGCAGGCTGTGCCCTGTGGGTCCTTTGCTTTGTTATTTCTGCACAGTGTTAGAACTTCCTTGCTGTCTTCGACACTTTCCCAGTCTCTGGGACTAAATACACAACACCTGTAACTTAGAGGCAGAGAGGTTTATTGTGGCTCACAGGTTCAGTCCATGGTTTGCTGGCTCCAAAGCAGGACGGCAGGGCAGAGGGCTTGCTGGACAGGAGAGAGGCAGGGCCGGGCTGACAGGAAGCAGAGAGTGGAGGCAGGAGCCTGGGAGGGAGATGGACCCCGCCAGGCCACACCCGCAGTGAGCGAGCGGCCTCTTCCAGCCAGACCCTGTCTCTTAACAGTTCGGCTATCACCCACTGGCAGATTTAATGCATCAGTGAGCCTAAAGCCTCACCTACGAGTGCATGAGGCTTTGGGAAGACCTCTAGGTACAAACCGTAAAGCTTGGCCCAAGACTTATTCCTAGGGTTCTCCTTGGGAGAGTAGAGGGGCAGAGCAGAATCTGCTGTAGCAGATTCTTGGTTTTGCTGAGCTCAGCCCCCTCTCAAGAGCTGTGAGTGGAAAGTCGGTCCTACTTCCTGCCCACTCCTCCATGAATGCATCATACTCTGTGTTTCAGAGAATTCAGCACAGGGACAAGAGAAAGGGGAAGAGAACGAAGCTTTGGATTCGCAGAATTCCACGTGGGCGTGAGGCTAACAGGACGGGGTTTAGATGATTAATAGGGAAAACAACGTTCCCCTTCTCTTTTTCAGACCAACATGATAATAGAAATCAGTAGCCATGCAGACCTGAGATGAGACCCTGAATTGAGGAGGATGGGGTAGGTGTTCAGGGGTCTAAACTTCCAGTGAGTTTCACAGGTGATTTGTATGGATGCTAAATTTTTAGAGTGGCAGCAAAGAATGTGTCATCCTTCCATTATCCCAAATCATAAAGGGAAATAAAAACTTCAATCTAAAGTCATTTCTGCCCCAGAAAGAATGGCTGCTATCAAGATATCAACCAATAACAAATGCTGGCGGGGTTGTGGAGAGAAAGGAACCCTTCTCCATTGTTGGCGGGGGTGCAGACTGGTGCAACCACTGTGGAAATCAGTATGGAGATACCTCAAAGGACTAGGGC